TGGGGCATAGAATAGGGATGGGGATTGGGCAGCGAATAAGAGTGAGGCATGGCATAAGGTGGCATACATTAGGATAAAGTACAGCACAGGCCTAGGACATGGCATAGGGGTTAAGGGCACAACAATAGCTTGGGGAAATAAACATGGACTGTTTACACCATGTAAGGTAATAATCCATTTAATGGTACTTAATCAGTAGTCTTTTTAAAACAAGAGGCCCAGAGGGCCTGTAACGCTCACCTGAATATGTTTAAAATAATTGGTATGAAGTAAAGATATAGCACTCCATGGTAGGTGCTGTAAGTACATATGAAATTTCAGAAAGATCCATCCAGTACTTGAGATATAATGAGAATAAACTTTAAACAGAGCCCCACCCCTATGCCCCTAGGGGAGGTCATACCCACCATTTATACAAAACTGAGTCCCTTTTACCCAAGGATGTTCCAGACTAAATTAGGATAAAATCCCTTAATCCCTTTGGTAGAAGAAGGATTATAAAGGTTTTACGTCTATTTCCCCTATTGGGCCCCGCCCCTCAGGTCCCAGGGGGGCCACATCCACCGTTTATAAAAATTGGTTCCCCTTTACCCAAGGATGCTCCACACCAAATATGGACCATATCCTTCCATTCCTACAGAATAAGAAGGATTTTAAAGAATTTGCTATGTTTCCTCTATTGGGGCCCACCCCTCAGGCCCCTGGGGGGCCAGACCCACGGTTTATACAAAATTGATTCCCCTTCCCCCAAGGATGCTTCAGACCAAATATCGAACAAATCCTTTCATTTCTACAGAAGAAGAAGGATTTAAAAGAATTTGCTATATTTCCCTTATTTGGCCCCGCACCTCAGCCCCCATGGGGGCCAGAGCCACCAAAATGTGTTCCCCTTCCCCCAAGGATGCTTCTGACCATTTTTTTTTTAAATCTGCTCAGTCGTTCATGACAAGTAGCGTTTTAAAGGAAAAGTTGATGGACGGACGGACGGATGACGGACGCTGCGGTATGGCCATGGTGAGCTAAAAAGTACCCCTAGTTTCCCTATTGGTCTCCATCTGTACTAACAGTGACTGTATCCTTCATTTATACAACATTTATTCCCTTAATTGGCCCATGGATGTTCAAAACCAAATTACCAAGGCATGTCAAAATTAGTCAAGCTATCCTGGAGCTCGTATTATTTTAATGAAAAGTGAACAGACCATTGTCTTCAGGCAGGTGAGCCAATTATTGAACTCTGCATTTAGGCTCAATGTCTCAATTCCAAGGTACATAAAGGCTAGGGCTGTAGAGTCAGTTATTTGTATTTCATTTCTCGAATTTTATGTAAATATACCTGGGAAAAAGAAATATTCATCTTGTTCACCCTCCATACTGTTATTATCAGTAAGAATCTCATTCATGAAACTATGTCAACTTTAAATCACCCAATTCACAGTCATGACATTCTAACCCACTCTTCGGGCCACATCAAATACATGGATTAATATAACCACTTTATAATCCCCACTACCAGCTGATTTATATTAAAGTTTTGCGATACTAGTACCTGGTGTTGACTTATTGTATGTTGACAGGAAATTGGACAAGGACCCGAAGGCTTTAACTGTTGCCTTATCCAATTAACCTCTTGTATTAATAACATTTGTTGAAATGAAAGGATCCTATACGTGTTGTTCACCTGAATCTATCTGTTGTATTGAAATATGACCCCCTGACCTCTGAATGAATCCCTAATTTATCAATCCCTTTACATTGATAAAGTTTGAAAATTCCTCTGTAACAATTGATATCTATGACTACCACACAGGTCCAGTAATAGCCTGTAGAACTCGCCCTGTTATCCTCCCTTTAATCTCAATACAGGTGTCCCCCAAGGTCATCCACTGTTGATACCAACAGGCTTTCACCTTTACACAAGGGTGCAACACAGAAAAAAATCAAACAATTCAACCTCTTTAACCCCGAGAGTCAAACAAATTTTGTAAAAATATTTAAGTATTAATTTTAATGTCATTTGAGTTTCATAACCATTATATATAGAACCTACAAAAATTAAAATTATTAAATGTAGGACTTATATTTTCACGATAATAGAACTAAACATAAGCATAATCAACCTAACTTTTGATTTTGTTTTTAATATTTTTTTTGATATTCGGTCATTAAACTTTCAATTAAAATCCATGCATTGAAGCAGTATAATATCTAAATGAACACTAGAGAAACTGTGAGCGAGTTCACAAATATAAACCCTTGCTTGGCTTTCAATTAAGGTTTCTGGAGCTGAAATTTAAGTTTCAATGGCCATAACTCCAGGAAAAATAGTCAGATGGCATTATCCTTTCTTCATCCACATCTACATACAATGCACTTTCACTGGTCTGGTTTGGTTTATTTGTGTTTTATGTCCTATTAACAGTTATGGTCATTAAAGGACGTGCCAGGTTTTAGTGGCAGAGGAAAGCCGGAGTTCCCGGAGAAAAACCACCGACCTACGGCCAGTACCTGGCGACTGCCCCACGCAGGCCTCGAACCTGCGACCCAGTGGTGGCGAGCTAGTGGCAGCAGAATGTCAGACGCATTAACCACTTGGCCACCACGGCCCCGTACTTTCCCTGTGTCAAGTTACAAAATAATGCAACACATGGTTTAAGAGGAATTGCACTTACAAGGATCATGGACTGATGGAAGACGGACAGGACGATTCCTACATTGTATATACATCTGACCCCCCAAACTTCCATTGCGAGGGGTATAATAATGTCTATTTGTTGTTTAGCATAACTAAAACAGCACATTGTCTCTTAGAATCAAAATAACTATAAATAGAGTAGCTACAGTGGTACAATTTCTGTGTCTTAGCACAACATAGTTATAAGTACATTGGTATGGTGTCCTTTTGGTATCTAAATACAAAATGGTTGTTACTAGAGTACTGTAAAATCATAAATTTTCGTGGGACATTAGATTTTCTTTATTTGTTTGATAACAAAAATCCACGAAATTAAATCCCCACGAAAACATCAATTTGGTATGATATAGATAGGGGAAAATCAGAAATCAGCAAAATATAATGTCTTTGAAACAGGCAGGTATATAAAAACCACGAAATTTTAATTAACACCACGAAAATAAATGATTCTACAGTAGTCCAATGCCTGTGTATATCTTTGTATTAAAAAGCTTATAACTACAGTAGTTTGGTGTCTCATTGTGTCTAAGTACAGAAATAGTTTTAACTTAGATAATTACAATGTTTTTTTGTACATTAGTGATGGCCTTTATAGAAGGGCTGGAACACACTATTACAGTATAGGTTTCCCTGAACACACATGGTTGGTAGTACATACAGCATCCAGCCCTGGAATTGCTAGCCTAGATATGCTTGGTTTCAGTAAATATTGATTTATCAGAAGTCCAACAGCAAAAGTACAACATTCCAAACTGTAAGCCTTACATCAAACAGAGGTATTATTATGTACTAAACCTTTATACAGGGATACATTACTAACAACGAGTACAACACAGACTTACCTGTGTCAGTAGAACTAATCCGCACAATGATACTGATATATTTATTGCCGAAGTCACATTTAATCCGAAAAGTCCAGACCTTCGAGTTCTGGTCCCTGAATGTACTGTAAGCTATATCCTGATTAGTTCACACGACCCAGAGAACGTCACTTATACTCAGTGTACTGTTCGGACTTCCAAGAGACGTCAAGTTTGTAAATAAACACATGTGGTCCCTAAAATAAGAAAACAGAATCCAAATGATTACATATTTGATCCAGATACAAGGTACATGTAGGTCACAGCAGGAAAGGCCCTCAAGATTAATGAAACTATGATGCAAAAAACCTCCTGTGCTCCTCTGATAAAGTATAACACACATCAGTTTTTTATAACCTAGATCAGTCCTCAACAAAAAATCACGAGGTTTACAAAATATGTATACATATCCCAGGAGTAATAGTAATTCTATGGGACAGGTGAGATATGTACATCGCACTAACCTGAACTTTTAATTCCTCCTTCATTGACACAATGGATTAACAAGAAGTCAACAACCATCAATATTCTCCGATGGCTTTCAGCAAGAAATTTCCTCAAAATATTTACATATCCCTCGATTCCTTTTTATTTATATATCTATCAACAAGTGCGAAAATCCACGTGGTGAGGTGCTAATAAATCCACATCATAATTTTCCATCCCGAGTACAAAGCTATTAACATGATAAGCACAAACCTTTGCCGATGTGTCGGTTGTCCACGGGGTCCTCACTGACCGACAGATTATACCTGAAGTACCCTAACTTTTGTGCTAATATAAAAAGTGTACTCACCTTGATATGAGATTAGAGACTTCTGTCCCCCAGGGAGCTAGCTTAATACATGACCCTGGCCCCTTCAGATTTTAAGGGCTTCGGTAGTATTGAGGGGCCTTGAATACACAAAGCTGATCTCCTGGATAGATAGCTCCCTCAGATCAACACTGCTACAGCTAGCAAGAATGTCTTGTTATATTTTTACAAAACTCCAAACCAATATTTATCTTTGTGACAAAGCAGACAAGGTCAAATATGTTGAATGTGACGACAGAGGTATCTGATATCAATCTGCCCTGTATCAAATCATCTTCATGGGTGAGAGACTCCACGCACCCCTGACATACACCCCTACCCCACAGGCGGTGCCGAGAAAGCACCACTAGCCCTTTCGAGGAGACATTTGTCTCCCTGCTTTGATAAGGTCTTTACACATAATTAACCCTATTACAGGGTGGGTGCCCCCACACAATGTCCCCTCAGTCCGTACCACACCAAATACAACCTGGCAGCTCCACTTCTACGTAGAGGTGTAACAAGCACGGTTAGTTTAACAACAATTGTCATAGGTGATAAAATAAACATTATCTTCAGGCGAATTCCCTTAAAATGAAAACTTCATTACAAAAAAAGTTTTATCTGAATTTAACCATTATCCTTTGATTATTAGAATGGTATAAACATATCATTTATAAATTATACATTTTTAGATCCAAATAATTTTCAAAATAGGAGGAAAATTTTCATTATTTACAAGTATAAGCTTATCATGCCTTGAACAAACATTACCTAAAAGATTTAATAACCAAACAATTTTACATAAGAAGAAAGTTAGTTTACGTTTCTTTTTTACCTATGTATCATTGATTGACATAATGTATGACTTCCAGTTGTGACAATCACATGAGTTATGGAAGCAATCTGTTTTAAATTATATCAAATTTCAAAAGAATTTAATAACGAAAATACTTTGAAACATGTTTTTTTGTAATGTAAACCTTTAACACCGAAACTTTGTACACTGTTGGTTTATTTATGTAACAATCTGAAAGAAAACACTAAGTGAACCATATACCTGGACACACCTGCTTATATGATAGCCTTAACCTGCCGATCCTGAAGCTTGCCCAGTACAAAGTTAACTTTGTCAGGTAAACGTTTATCAAAGCTACCTGTTGCTCTGTAATGCAATAGTCTTGATGAAGATAGCTGTAGGGCTGCACTGTTTACTTACAAGTGGGATCTGTTCAGGTTTAAATTTGTCTTCATCAAAGGAATTTAGCAGTGAAATAAATTATAGCAATGTACTTGACAATGCCTTTATTTGCATAAAAATCTGTATGTGCCTTTGACGTAAGACTGGGACACATTGATACGATCACTTAAAATGATATTAGTGTCAGAGAGCTCAATTAATTAAAATCTGAATCTCTCTGACAGAATTACAATGTATACATATATATCACACCAACACATGTAACACCCACATGTAACACTACTTCATTCTAAGCTATACACGTGACACAAACACACACGTAATATTTATGTCTTGTATAATTGAGTTGTTACTACTGCAAACTGTTAAAACAGTAATGGCTCAAAATAAGCGATCAAACAGCACTTGCTCCCATTCCCCCAATTCAGAAAGAACAGCAACTCCCTTCTTCCCCTAAATTATGATAAGCAGTAACCCCCTCTTTCCCAAAATCTACATAAAACAGCAACTCCCTTCTTCCTCAAATCTAGATAAAACAGCAACTCCCTTTTTCCTCAAATCTAGATAAAACAGCAACTCCCTTATTCCCCAAATCTACATAAAACAGCAACTCCCTTCTTCCTCAAATCTAGATAAAACAGCAACTCCCTTATTCCCCAAATCTACATAAAACAGCAACTCCCTTCTTCCTCAAATCTAGATAAAACAGCAACTCCCTTATTCCCCAAATCTACATAAAACAGCAACTCCCTTCTTCCTCAAATCTAGATAAAACAGCAACTCCCTTATTCCCCAAATCTACATAAAACAGCAACTCCCTTCTTCCTCAAATCTAGATAAAACAGCA